AGCATATGGTTTCTGCATTTTTAAGATATATAGATATATAGATTTCTAAAATAGACTGTAAACATGCAAGTGCTAAACTTAGGACTTCATGGTGCTTGAAATCAGGTTTTGCATTGTGTCCCACAAATAAAAAAAATGGAGGAACACTAAAACTGTCTCTAGATTTTAGGAAAGTGGCCATTAAAAAAAGTAATAAAAACTTAACGATTCCACATTCTCGCACGGACATATGTCTGCAAATCTTCATGCATATCCAATCCAATGCACTATATTTATATAGCACATTAATTTCAGTAATACATGTCATATGGCGAGTGAAAGCTGATAATTCATTGCTCACCAACCGCCGCCTCTGAAATCCCAATGGGTATTTGTTCGGCTGCTAACATGAAATGTTCAATGACATAGCAGCAACATTGTTGTATGGACGTCTTGGTGGCTGTGGCAAGGACTCTATCCAGAGTAGGAAAGGAGGTGCAGAAAAAACAGGCCCCAGACACATGGTCTTTATTAGAACACGCAAATGAATGATGCTGGTAACAGCGGGACCAAAACAAAAGTTTTCCACAACCAAGGGACAGCTGAAGCTCTCTATTATAAAACCCCAAACATATGAAGGTGTGCACATGTATCACACAGAAAACACAAGAATAGATAACATATCTTTGTTGAACCTCATGAGTGTCAGGGTTCTGCCCTCTGTTTAAGTTTATTTTTAGTTTTTATTTGTAGTTGTTTTCCAAAAGTGTTATGTTCTTGAGTTGCTCTCTGTTCCTCCCTTGTTTCCTTTCCCCTTGGCTTCCTTCTAGATGCATCCATCCTCACCTGTTCCTTGTCAGCTCAGTGCAGTCTTTGTTCTGTTTCATACTCTCCTCGGCAGTTGAGACGTGAGATTTCCCCAGAAGTTTTCTGGTTTTGGGTTCCTTATATTTTTGTCATGATGTGGCCTGATTGCTCCACCTTAATTGGTTATTTCTTTCACCTGCCGTTTTCCCTCCCTCCCGCAATTATCATTTATTCCTCTCACCTGTTTCCTTTAGTTCATATTCTGTTTAGCCTGAGCATTCGGGGCCAGATCATTAGATGTTCTTTTCTGTTCAGTCTGGTCAGTTCTGTTGATTCCAAGGTTCATGTCTTGGATCCTGGCGGCCAGTGGAAAGAGAGTTTTGTGTCTGTCTCGCCTACTAATTGTTCACTGTTCCTCCCCTGCTGAGTCCTCAGGGTTTTCGGCTCTATACGCTGGGAGGATCCGTTTTTATTCCAGTAAGCCTGGCTCCAAGGAGGAGACCAGTTTAAGCAAAGGATTGTGGGCACCCATATGGCTCCTTGCACAGCTAGCAATGTCAGGGGGTCACTATGCTAAATTAATTAATGCTAGGAAGAATCATGTTCCCTCCTTTTAGCCCCTTTCTTGCTACTAGCAATATCCAGATAACTTTTATTATCGACGGCAGATGTACGTCATGGTGTGCTTGGTGTGAGGATTGCTTTCGACGCAATGACTCGATGCAATCTGCTTGTTTTCCTTAGAAACCTTTGCATCAATTTGAATGTATGATCCGGTTGAATTGTCTTTGTAAAGTGCCTTGAGATGATATTTGTTGTGAATCGGCGTTATATAAATAAACTGAATTCAATTCAATTGAGGTGAGTTAGCTGGTTGGGTGTTCATTTGAACACACTGAGGATAGTGAAGGTAAGCCTTTCTAAATTATGATGTAGCCTGCTGTGAGCATGTGTCCTTTCCTTGTCTGCTTCCTTCAACCAGTGCTGTCAGTCTCTTTGACAGTGGCTATCCATTGGTGGTACAGCTGAAGACAAGCAAAGAAACAGGTTGAACATCAAGCAGAGCCTGAAAGGTACATTGTTAACTATAACTCCAACTTTTGGGTTGAGTTATGATTAATGTCCACAACAAATTATGACAAGCAACACATGGTAGCATAATATCCTTAATTAAAACATTTTGCTAAAACATTTGTTCTATTGGAAGAGTGTACAGTCATTTTTAAATGTTAATATAAACCAATAAAAGAACAACCGCATTTATCAATCATCTATTAGAATTTTGTGTTTTAGAAAATGGAAATAATTCTAGTTTTTATTTTATATCTTTACAAATGTATGAAAAAAAAATGCTTAAAGGAATTTCCAGACTTTCCTCAATTTTTAAGGAACTCTGGAAGCCAAGTGGGGAAACAACGACAAACTTTATAGAACCAAGTTAATTATTCAAAAGATGAAGTGTAGAAGTACTACTGAATTTTTAGACTTCATTACACTGCATCGCTATTGTGATGTGATGGACAGATAATTACAGAAACGTAATAACTATATAATCACACAGCGTAATGTTCTGTTTGCATAAAAGGTTTGAAGGTGACAGTAATTGAAATATTCTGACAATAAGGGAGGGAAATAGGCACATGACATTCTTCAGAATTAGGAGGGAGACGGTGTTAGAAGGTTTAGTCAATGTCCATTACCTTGGTGGTCACTCTCAGTCGACCCTTAGCTGCGCTAAAACACAGCTGACAGAGACAGAAAACAACAGAGAAAAGCCAAAGACGGCGGTACAGGCAGGCAGGGAGTCAACTCTGACACTAATGTCAAAATACTACAACTACTGGTAAAAAAAAAATGCATAATTCCTCTGTATACACCATTAGCAGAGTTGTTTCTACTTTGTTTAGGGATTTTTTTTCACAACCTCTCCCTCCTTAGTGAACAGTGACAGCATATGACTCACAGCCTGAGGAAATTTTATGGTGATGGCTTTTAATTTCTGATATCAAAACAAGTTCCTGGGCAGCACTTTTATTGAAAACCCTCTAGCATTCTCATTATCTACTTGGATAGCTGCCCTTGAGCAAAAAAATATTGAAAAGATAATAAACAATTCAATCACTTTTAATCCATTGGTCATGGCTCTTGTAGGTCTTGAATGCCTACTCTGGAAATGATTGTGTAATCTACAGACACTCATTCACCACTTTATTAGGTGCACCTATCCAACTGCTTGTTACCACAAATTTATAATCAGCCAATCAAATGGCAGCATCTCAATGTGTTAAAGCACGTAGACATGGTCAAAAAAATCTGCTGTAGTTCAAATTGAAAATTCGAATGGGGAAAAATGTGATTTAAGAGACGTCAAAGGTGGCATGGCTGTTGGCGCCAGGCGGGCTGGTCTGAGTATTTCAGAAACTGCTGATCTGCCATAGCTGTGGGGCCAAAACATCCAACCAGTTTACAGAGAATGGTCTCAAAAATGTCAATTTCCAGTGAGCTGTAGTTATTTGGATGAGAACACCTTGTTGATTTTAAAGGAGAGAGGCTAAAAAGATATGCAGAATGCCTTCTCCAAATACATATCTTATCAGGATTAAAGTAGAATGGCTACAGCAGCAGAAGTCCCCACTGGGTGCTCAGAAGAAGAATCTGAGGCTACAATTCACTTAGACTCCCTAAGTTTGTTAATAACAGATCAAAAAGGGATGATTTAGTCATGAAACCCCCTGCTGGAGCAGAGTAACGTCTATAACATTCAGGGAGGTATTTTGGACCAGAGATGTCAAACACTAATCTTATTTGTAGTTAATGGAAACATTATCATTAATAAAAATAAAAAAACTATAGAGTTTAAAGGTTTTGATCCTGAGTTAGAGCTTTCTTTTATTGCATCGGCCCATCCCAGACTCTACCAAAAGAAAAAGGTTTACCTTAAACTAATGGCAGATATTTTTATGATAGACAGGCTTTACATATGGAAGCTGCAAGGAGAGGAACTAGTGGGAAAGGAAGGCAACAAAGTAAAAAAAAGCTACAAAGGTTTAGAAAGAATGAAGGAAAAAATTAATGAAAATCCTCAAATTATAGACTTTTCCATGCACTGCAGGACTCATGTTTAATCATTTTGTATAATCTGTTCAGATCACAGCAATTAGTTATTCTGACCTGCAATGGAAAACTAGTAATAGGTCAATTATGACATCACATCCTGATCTCTATAGGGGGCCTCATTTGTGGAACTTTTCGCCCGAATGGCTACAGAGACACTGAAAAGACTTTAAAAGCTGTGAAAATGATTCAATGACAACAGAAGGACAAATAGCAAGAAGTTGAGTAACTATGCAGCTGCAGGATGGTAATAAACTATCCCCTCTGTCAACGGCTCCACGCGCCAGCAGAGGAATCATTTGGCAGACGCTTTAACAACCATCATGACACCAAAACTAACCTTGATTCAAAAGCCTAATTGAGACTACTGACAGACAGTCCAAGAAAACACGGTAGGTGAGTTAAAATCCCTGAAAGTAAATAAAAAATATAAAGAAAACCCTAATAATCCACTGCTTCACATGCTGCATGAACATGGAGAAACAACCAGTCATAGAGCTGATTCATGAGCTGCTCGATGCATTGACAGAGGGAGGACCTGCTGCGGAAATGACAGGCAAAAGGCACTCAAACACAATGACACTGTGAAAACAACCCACATTTCATGTGTAACCCACAGGCGGGACGCGTCTGAGTGACGGTTTGTTTGTCCAGCATGGAGAAATTTACCAAACATTTCTAAGAGAGACATTATTATCTCTTTAGATCTCTGTGTGTTGTGCATATGTGCTGAAGGGGGTAGGGCATCACGACAACGCAAGCCTCCAGACAAGAAGGTGGTTGCCGTGGCAACCTCGGACGACTTGGGGAAAAGAAGGAGCGATAGACAGCGAGACAGAGAGAGAGAGAGAACCAGCATGTGTGCACTGACAGAAATAAGGGGGCAACATCCTAAGGCGAAACAAAAAGGGGAAAAAAAGAACAGGAAATAAGGCTCTGGGAGGAGTTGAGACTTGAGAAGCTTCTTATTCAATAGGAAAAGAAAGAGAGAGAAAAAAAAAAGTCCAAATACACTGAATTATTGCAATAGAGAGATCAGAGAGGAACGAAACAATGATGTGAACATTGAAGTGAAAGAATGTAAGGGTGGGGACACTTACAGGGAACAGTGCGGAGGTAGAGGTTGTCTCTGATGATCTGCTGGTGGTCGTGGTCCACTGAGCCCTTGGAGAAGCGTAGGTTGAGGTAGTGCCGCAAATCTTTGTCGACTACCCCACCTGAACACGGAAAATAAAAAGAGATGTGTCAGTGTCAGGTCTTAGTTGATTACACAGCAGCATAAAGGAATGTCTTATTCATAGGGTGTCCAAAGATCTAACAAGATATCAAAAGAGCTTTTTGTGAACCCTGGTTCATATGATGAGATTGTACTAAAAGAAGGAATAGTAGATTGATTTGTCCGTCTGTTATTGTACTGTGAGGCTAAACACTTAGCTTTGGCCAAACCTGAAAACCTTTGTTTTCTTGTGGAAATATCATATTCCCGAGGATACAAAACACATTAGTGGTTTGTAAATATCTATACATTTAATTCTGCTTTTATTCCAATTTAAGACTGTTTATATCCCTGCTATTATTTGCAGTTTTTCCAATTTTTGTAAAGTTGTTTTTTTAATTTAGTTTTACAAGCATATTCTAATACACTTTCAAAATGTACCTATTCAGTACATTTTATTGTTTATTTACTGTAGATGATTTTTTCTGTGCTTAAAACTTTTCCCTAAATTGTTGCTAAAAAGATCAAACCCCGCCCCCTAGAAGGGTTAATGTTTACAAGTAGCAACTCCTTATCTACGTTTACAGGTGCCAGGTCAGTTGCCAGTTTGAGCCAACACACCATGTATCTCAGTCCAGGTATCCTTGGATAACTCTCCACCCACCTTGCCTGCTGTTGGTATGTCAGCGTGCCCCAGGACGGCTACAATTTATCTTACCACCACCAGTGAGTCAATGAGTGCATGAAGGACTGAATATGGCATAATGTGCTTTGGGGTTTTCATACTTAATAAAGTGCTATAAATGTGCATGCTGTAACATTTATGTACTCAAATGTAGCAACATGTTTTCAAACGAAGATGCATATTTTAATGTATGAATGGATTTCATTAAGTAATGATGTAAAAAAAAAAGTAGAAATTAATAACTTACATAAGCAAATATTACTATTCAAATGGCAGCCTTATTAGATGCATTAAGGTGTAACACATAAATATGTCAGTATCATGTTGTTTTTGCTGCACTTCTTATCGTCCAAGTCCATTATACACAGAAACCACAAAAGAGAGTTAAAATTATTTCCTGAGAAATTTCTATGTTTCCTGCCTGTTTATGTTGCAATATGAACTTTACACTGTGCACCCATGTGTTAATTACAGCTAGATTCAGTGACCTCAGCTAGCAGAGCAGCAAGTGAGGGAGACTAAATGTATTTCTGTTTCCACTGTTGCCTTGCAGAGCTGCTGCAGCTTAGATTAGGGTTGACCCATTGATCTAGGCTTGCTTCAAAGCTCATTTTCTCAAAGAGCCACATAAACCATTCAACCTATTGTTGAGTAGTGGATAGTTAAAACATAGCATCTGCTAAAAATATTTCTTTTTTTTTCTTTTATAGTCCATGTGTATGGTGAGGATGTCACCGGCCACAGCAACACAGTGATTAGGCTATATGAAATAAAAAGCCTTATATATAATATTTATACCTGATTTATTATTCCTTTAATTTCAACAGAAATATATTGGTTAAAGTTTGTTGGTTTCTTTTTTTATAGTTTCTAAAAAAGGAAAAACAAAAATATCCACAAACAATTATTTGCTATTTTCCCCTATCAGAGAAAGGCTTAAAAATAAGCAAGTAACGAGTTGAAGTAAAAAATTAAGAAAAAAAAAAAACATTTGACTATTAGTCCAAATGCCAACCATAATATAGTTGCACAAATGCTTGGCACCACGTCTAGTGCATGAATCCTCTGGAATCTAGTTAGCTATGTATTTGTTGTCAGTAAAAAAGTTGTTGAGAAAACGTTACTAGTTTTAAAAATAATATCCCATAACCAGTAGTGATCCCTCAAGAAGTGGGTATACTCGTACACAACCTTTTTTTTAAGATTTTAATTTTTTAAGGTACTTTTGGCCTTTATTTTCATTATTTCTGAAAGTTCTGAAAGACAGGAAATGGGATTTGACACAAAGAGAAACATGCAGCTACATTGGGGGTGAAGACCACCATACATGGGTTCCTGCACAGCGGTGTAGTTTGTAGCACAAGAAAGTCCTGGGTTCGAGTCCTGGCCGAGTCTTTTGGCATGTTATCCCAATGCATGAGTGGGTAGAGTCCAAAAACATGATTGTAACTTTGATTGGTGAGTCTAAATTTACCCTAGGTGTGAGTGTGCTTGTGTATAGTACAGTATGTATATCTCTGCCCTGTGATGGACTGGCCTCTGTGGCTAATACTTTCTGAGCCTGAGGGATAACCCTTCACTAACCATGTTTAACTTTAAAGTCAGAAAATCATTTTGGTTTCTTTTTGTTTCTATGTTTTGTTTTGTTTTTTGTGCATTCAATAAAAAAACTAATGCAAGTAAATGACACCCTTGTTCTCTCTGCACTGTCATTTTATCACTGTGGCAACATGTTTATTTAAATTCCTTTCCCAGACTGTGATTGAAAATGATTTAACAAAATAAAAATCTCAATGTCAAAGACTACGTTTATTTCTGCACATGGTAGTACAAACCCGAGGCTGGTTTGTAGGATTCTACTTTTTAAAGTCATAATTCCAACTTTCAGCATTGGGGAGGGGTTAAATCTGCTGACTTTTAAGTACAAACAAAATGCAGCATTTACAATGTTCAATTTGCAAGTTAACAAAACCAGTTGAGTTTGCTGGTTTACAGTTCAGTGACCAGATCAATGTTTGTTAGCAACATTCAAGAGAATGCACTTCTCTCTGCTTATATTGTATTAATCACATGCTAAGGTCCAGTTAACTCTTCTAGCTTGAAGACTTAGACTTAAACAGATTTATTTTTTCATTTTTTAAACACGTATGTAAACAAAAAGAAATTTAATTTAAAACATCTCTGGACCATTTAATTTTTTAAAGTGCAGCCTTGAAAAACATTAATAAGTACATTTTATAAAAAATAGTAATATAAATATATGACTGGAAATTGAATATTGACTGTGTATTGATAAAATTGTGATGTTCTGACTGAGAGGTAGAACTGAATTGCAGCACAAGTTTAAAGTTTGCAATTAAGAAAAAAAAAATTTTTAACTGGAAATTTCAAGAGACCAGGTTTGAGACTTAAAAAATAGCAACAGTTTAGTTTTATTGTTCAAGTTTTAAGCATTAAATTTATTTTATACCTTAATCTGCTTAGAATATGATTAATTGTGGGCTTATCTTTCTATAAACCTAGATCAATGACTCATATTTTTAAGGGCAGGTGAGAAATGTTAAACACTCCAAATCAATTTCCACTTTATTTGGAAAAGTAATTCCCAGACCCGGAATAAAAAAATTATTAATTCAAGTTTGATTCCAATGCTGCATAAACCATGTGCAAAATTTGCAAAACTAGAGGCACTAACTAATAGTGTTGTCCAGTGACCAAACTGTTAGCAGCAAAAGTAAAAAAAAAAAATAAAAAACAATGTCCCTCGCAATGCATTTTATACATTATATACTTGTGCGAACAATTTCTCACATGAGACTGATTTACAGAGGAGAACCAAAAAGACCTTTTTAGTATCCACCAACTTTTAACATATGAGCCGGCCATATTGGATTTTAAGGTTGGTTGGGAATCTCGGGTATCAAAGTCAGAACTTTTTGGTTGGCAAAGCTGCAGTAAATTGGGGATCCAACTTGAGAATTTTGGACTTCAAATATAAAGCAAAATGCATCAAAACCTTCTAACGAAAAATACAAGTTGCAACTCATTTTGCTTAGTTTCGTGCTAGTAGCTCCAACTAACTGTCATAGCCAAATTTAAAGAACCAGTGCTTTCGCACAATGATCTAAACACACATATTAGTGTAACTGTGTAAACCAGTGATCCCCAGGGACTTAATGTGCAATGTCAGCAGGTCAGGTAACAAAGCCTTTAGAGGACAATAACACCCTCTCCCCGGCTCTATGTTTCTATAGATTATGTGCTGTATAAGCTGTTTTTCTAATCATTAAATCACTGAAGTGAAACACAGTAAAAACAAGGAAAGAGCAGTGCTGAATTCAGAGGAGTAACACCAAAAATCCATGTGAAGTTCCACAAATAGTTTCTGCTGCCTGCATCTAAAACAGGAGGAGCCTTAGGAGGATGAGAGGAGGAGAGATCACTCCACATGCAACATTTGGTATGCAATAGTATCACATCCGACAGCGGAAGGGATGAGGTTACATCCTAAGCATTTACAAATGACAAACATGTCTTCTCAGTCATGCATACAATATTGACCTCCTGCCAAACTGAGTCAACAGCCTTGGGCCTACAAGTTAATGCAGCGCCTACCTGTCAGGGGGAACACATTGCACTCAAGTGGAAACGCATTCAGCCCCAGTGCTAACACATGCATGCGAGTCCCTGACACAGGTGACTCTGTCACTCCGGAAAAAAAAAGTATCCCCTGTCTAGAACATCTTGCATTGACTGAAAACATTTGACATTATTTTTCAGCAAAAGGAAAGAAAAACATAAGGGTGGAAAAGAAAAAATGATGTGTTAATGTAAAAGCACACTGCTTTGTATTCAGACACAGGTTTAATGTTTGGCATGCATAGACACAATACATGCACATGATAAGAAGAGGATAGAAAGACAGACAGGAGCTGAGATGAAGACCCAGACAGTGATGATAGAGGCAGTGAAATCGGTGCACCTCAACAGCAGCTGGCCCAGATGTTGATTTAAGAAAAAAAAAAAAGCCCTTTTTTTTCCAGAGGCATATATCCACAGACAGCCTGTCCTCCCCGGCGTCCTCTAGCTTCAGATCCAACCGCCACACATCCTCCTTTACCTTGGTGAAACCTCCCCGTCTTCCCAATCTTCCTCTGCTTCTGAACTGCTGCTCCAGCACACAGCAACCGGCTGCAGCCAATTTTAATCCCAGAAGATGACGACCAGGTTGGGGTTGTAGGGGGGGATGGTAGATGGAGAGAGACACTGATAGATGGAGAGAGACGACGACCGTCAGGAGGAGGAAAAAAAAGAGG